ACAAGGTCGAAGCGCCAAGCCACATCAAGAAGAAGGTCGAGGGAGCGAAAGAGCTCATTGACCTGCGACCAATGAACGGTGGCTTCCCCATCTTCGATCAGGGGCATCTCGGCAGCTGCACAGCGAACGCTTTGGCAGCAGCCTTCCACTTCACCCTCCACAAGATGACGGTGGAGAACCACAAGGATTTCGCCGACTTCACCCCAAGCCGGCTGTTCATCTACTACAACGAACGCCTGGTGGAGGGCAGCGTGAACCAGGACGCTGGGGCGATGATCCGGGACGGCATCAAGACGATGTCCAAAGTAGGCGTGTGCCCGGAGAGTGTGTGGAAGTATGATGACCAGCATGACTTCTTCAAGCAGCAGCCGGATGACAAGGCCTACGAGCTGGCGCAGAAATGCAGGGTCATGGGCTACGCGCGCGTTGCCCAGGACCTGAGCCAGTTCAAGGCATGCCTGAAGAACGGCTACCCCTTCGTCTTCGGCTTTGCTGTCCTTTCTAGCTTCCAGACGGCGGAAGTTGCCAGGACCGGCAAGATGGTGATGCCCCAGCCGACCGACCAGCAGCTGGGCGGCCACGCCGTCTGTGCCGTGGGCTACGACGACTTCCAGCAGTGCTTCATTGTCCGCAACTCTTGGGGTGAAGCGTGGGGCGACAAGGGCTACTTCTACATGCCCTATGAGTACATGTGCCATCCCGCCCTTGCCTCCGACTTCTGGGCCATCAACTGGGTCGAGGGCTTCAAGAACACGACCACCCAGAACCCGGTCAAGAAGTGATTGATTCACTACGATCCTTTGTATAGTCAGGTTCCTGTGCAGTCGGCTTTCCCCGGAGGGGTGGCTGGCTGGACAGGACACATGCCTCCAATTGGAATGAGTTTTATCAATCTCTGTAAGTACTGTGCAGCCGACAAATCTCCACTGAGGCTGAACATCAATTTTGTGACACATGATTTGTGCCAAAAGTGACCGTGCGGCCCGGGACTTTCTTAGCTGCTGTTTCGTTGAAGTCAGCTTTCCGACCACTGCCACCCCCCTTTAGGCCTCTCTGCAAGCACGTCATCATGAAAGCCGGATGCTTCTCTGACTATCACAACATGTGGGATATGCACAAGATTCTGTTAGTTCTACTGCGTTCTACTAGTGGTGACAGTAGTTCCAGTAGCAATACTGGAGGCCCGCGGATCCGTGCCTGCCTTGAGCGAGTCTGCGAGTCGAAACCCTCGAACCCAGAGAAGATAGCATTGACTTAGGGTTTAGGGTTTAGGGTTTAGGGAAGCTTCAGCGTTGACTGTGAACTTATCCCGAGCCTGACAACCACAGATTTAAAACTTACGTACAGGGACAACTAATTAGGGAACATATTCAATATCGGCCCTCACGCGTTGCCTAGCGCTGCTAGACCCTCTGGATGCAACGGCAGAGAGAGAGAGAGAGAGAGAATCAATGATACCACGAAGGGCAGGAGAGGGCAACAACCTGCGCGGTGGTAGCTGTTACTAGCCACAAGCACAAGGACAGCCAATAATTATAAGGATAATATTAATAATAACATTAATAATAATATTAATAATCATATTCATAATAATATTAATATTAATATGATGATATTATTATTAATAATAATTGTAATGTTAATAATAATATTAATAATAATATGAATAATAATATTAATTAATAAGAATATTAATAAGAATATTAATAATAATATGAATAATCATATTAATATTAATATGAATAATTATATTAATAATAATATTAGTAATATTAATAATAATATTAATAATAATATTAATAATAATAATATTAACAATCATATTAATATTATTAATAATCATATTAATAAGAATATTCATAATATTAATAGTAATATTAATAATAATATTAACAATAATATTAATAATAATATTAATAATAATATTAATAAAAATAACAAGAATAACAATAATAGCAACAATAACAATAATAGTAACAATAATAATAACAACATTAATAGGAACAATATTAAAAAAGAAGAATAATAATGATAATAATGATAATAATGATAATAATAGTAATAATAATAATGATAATAATAATATTAATAATAATAAAAATAAAAATAAATAATCGTCATAGTTATAATAATTCATGACCCGAAATGTTCCTACCGCAGATGCCAAAGGAAGCTCGAAGAGGCCGAGCTGGTCCTCGGCCGCCTTTCGTGTCAGGAGCCCTCTATATCCCTCTATAAGTCACGGCTTTGTGGGGCTTTCAGGATTCCGGGGTCCAGGATCACGGGGTTTAGGGTTTAGGGTCCAGGATCAAGGGGGGGTTTGGGGTTGAGGTTTTTGGGGCCTGAGCGGCAAAATGTTGATTTCCGGTGTTTTGAGTCCGGAAGCCCCAACTCGTAATTCTCTACTGCTCTAGCTCCTGCCTGATACCACAGACACAGAGAGCCAAGCAATTGGGGAAAACCTTGGCTAGGTAGGTTGCGCTTGAAATACATGGCATATTTTGGTTTTATTGTCGTTGCGGTCGTGTGTCGTGTGCATATGCTGACATGAAGATGCTCAGCAGAGATTCCGGACTGCACTTAGAACCGTAAACTAGGAAGGCCTTTGGGACATTTTACCTTTTCCCTTCTTAGGCTTATGAGGATTTCTATTTACGCATATTTTTCAGAGGCTTTGAGGGGCCAACCTAGGTAGTAAATTCTAAACTTCCCTAAGCCCTAAATCCTAAGCCATTCGCTCCGCCGTAACGGTGATCTGAGCTTCTCTCTCAGCCTTTGGAGCCTGAAGTGTTGCATCATTAATTGGGTGATCGGAGTGATCTCAGACCTGTCGACCCGGACATGTGGGCGTGCCCTTGCGAAGTAGGCTGAAACAAACCCCAGACCTTTCCTGGGTTTTCAAGCGAAGTTGTGGCTGAGCCGCAATCCCCAAATCTCCCGAACCGTAAACCCTCACGTAAGTCTTGCCAGACGCTGCAGACGCTTGATCCAAGCCCATGATACAGAACTTACGATTCCTTTTTAGGAACATGCAACATCTTGTATCACCGAATCCAAAACCCAAAACCTTGAACCCCGAGCCTACCACTAGCGAGTCTGAGTGTCGAAACCCTAAACCTTAGTAAACCCAAAGCCCTAAATCCTAAACCCTAGACGCCCTACATCCTAAACCCTGAACCCCCTAAATCGGACTTGGTACGCCATCAACGCCCTAAGCGCACCATGGACCTCCTCCCCCCGCCCTCAAAAAAAGAAGCACCCTCAACCCTAAACCCTAAACCCTTACTACTTCTGCAGTCGGAAAAAGGTGTCAAAACAAAAACCCTAAACCCCTTAGAAAAAAGGCAAAAAGCCCAAAGCAGAGTCGCCTTGAGGAGGCCTTGGCCGAAGCCATCGAGGTAAGGGGCGGGTTTAGGGTTTAGGGCCTTTAGGGTTTAGGGTTTTAGGGGTTTAGGTGAAGTTACAGGGTTTTGGGAGTTTATTGTTTAGGGGGCTGAGTGTTTAGGGCCTTTAGGGTTAGGGGATTTGAGGGGTTTTCGGGGTCTAGGGGTTGTAAGGTTGCTTCACATTAGGCTTTAGGTTTTGAGGTTGCGTGACTCCCGAGTGTTTCGAGCTTGAACCCGAACAATGACGATGTTATCCCCACGTCTCCTTGCAGTCACACTATGTTAACTTGAATAAGCCGAGTATACCCTGACACTGAGGTGCCCATATTCGGACTTGGGTATGGAAGTGCAGTCACGAGAGCTGAACCTCTGTGCCGAGAACCCCAAAGCCCTAAACCGAGAACCGGGTTTAGGGAAACCTGAACCCAAAGCTCGAAACCGCGATTGGAGCTGCAAGTTCGGAGTGCAAAGCTCAAGCTTGGAAGCCCACTAAGTCGGGCGGCGCAAGGTGTCAGGTTAGACCGGAGCCCAACAACCCTCTGCACGACACATGCAGTCATACATACCTACCCTACCTGCCTGCCTGCCTAGCTAGCTAGCTGCCTGCCTGCATCTGCACATAGACAGATAGACACACATACAGAGAGAGACAGAGACACAGAGAGAGAGAGACAGAGAGACAGAGAGACAGAGACAGAGACAGAGACAGAGACAGAGAGACAGAGAGACAGAGAGAGAGTGAGAGAGAGAGAGAGAGAGAGACGGAGAGCGAGAATGAGAGAGAGAGTGAGTGAGATGCAGAGATAGATAGTTAGCTACAACTAGCACAAAACGACCTAGCCTCCCAGGTGGGCCGCGAGGCCCAGCTGCGCGAAGCACTGGCCGCCGCCCGTGCCTGCGGCGTGGAGGAGGCGATCCCAACATACTCCAAAGTTCGTCTTCTGGGTCTAGGGCTTAAGGGTTGCATGATTCGGTGCTGTAGGGTTACATGGGTTGTAGGATTTTGGGGTGTTTGGGTTTAGGGTTCACGGGATTTTAGCTTTCAGAGCAGGGCTGTTGAACTGAAGGCATGCGCTTGCGGCTCGAAACTTTACATCCAGCAGACCCCGGTGGTCAACAAGCAGTGATAGTAACGTCGAGTTTTTTTTGGGTTCAGGGTGAGCAGCAATTAGTAATATGTAGTTGCTAGGGTTTGATAAGGTTTATTTTCTACCTATACAACTATCACATTCTTCACCAAAGCCCGGTCCTAACTTTGAGCGTCCTCGCATAGCCCCAAAGGCCTGGTTTAGGGCTCTCGTGGATTTCGGGTCTTGGGGAGGGGATGTTACGGGTTAGTGGCCTTACGGCTGATGATATAGCTCCGGCATTGCCCATGATAAGGAAAAGGGCCATACTTCCCCTAGTTTAGGGTCCTTAAGGTAATGCAGGATTATATATCCTCAACAGCAGGGATCCTTTTTCGACGTCAGAAGCATCGGACCCGAGAGGCGTCTCTGGCAGAGGCAGAGGCCCAGCTTTGTTCGCCACTGGGCCTTCAGGGTCTTCGCTCGGGGGCTCGAAATTCAGGGCTTGACCTACCCAGAGAACCCAATACCCTCTAACTAAGGAAAAACCTTAAATCATAGGGGCCTTAATATTATGATATAAGGTATATTCCTTAGTTAAGGGGTATCGGGTTCTCTGGGTATTTTTGTTTGGGTCTGAATGCTTTCAATCTGTAGAAATAGTCTGAAGTATTCGTATGTCCAGCTCCAGTGGAGGTGCCTTTTTGTTTGAAGCATATCTTGTATATACCCCCCCCCCCC